TTTTTTTGGACAATAGATTCAATTATAATAATCAAGTGGGTCATTATGAACAAGATACGCGTTGAGTTAAAAACAGAATTTGTCATTGAATTGAAATAGAATTGACCATTAGATAAGCATAAAAAATATGCAACAGCAGCACTCAATTCCAAAATAATTGATAGAAAAGAGCAAACTCTCAGTCGAAATTTATTTTTAAAACTACTCAACGCTGTCCACAATCCAAGAACTATGAAAAACAAAATAAATTTTTGCATTTGTTTCAAAAACATTATTGTCTTTAAATATGAATCGATTAACTTTGAATGAATAACTATCGAATGTCTATTGAGTTCTGAAGTTGAAGCATAATTTTATGTTTGATAGAAATGAATGTTCATGAAATTTCATTCATTATCATTTTCATTATAAAATTTGTTTTAAGTGGATTAAAACAGGCCAACCTTGGATTTTAAAAATATCAATTCTTCCAAGTCTCTCAAACTCCGATACGAACTTAATTATCTACAAATTACAAGTCACAGTGGAAAATTTAATAATTATTACATTCATTAAGTATTGTATCTAATCGATCTAAAGTCCTTATTCATCCATATTCTGGATTAAATGATTTGCGATAGGAAGTCTGAGTTGAAGCCATTTTTCGAACCGAAGTTCAAAAAAAGTTGCAATATAACATAAGCTCAGGCGTTTTTTAATTTCGTCAAAAATTAGATTTTGCTTCCGCTTTTTTCTCCTCTTTGCACACACATGAACTATACCGAACCAGTGCAAAGACTGCAAAGCTGCAGTGCAAACAAGCGAATCTAAAAAATGTAGATGATGCGTATGCAATATCAGTGAAATAAAATAATAATAAAATGGTTGTGTTTTTAATAGTTGAAGTAATATCAACAGTTGATTTCTCATGAAAATTTGACATTTTGACGTAATCAAGTCGATTATTATTATTATTATGGAATCTGTATTTGGACAGAAATGAAAAGAGAGATTATTATTCAAAATGTTTAAAGTACAAGCCAACAATATTGCCACATTTTTGTACTACTAAATGAAAGTGAAAAAATAGCCATAAATTCTCTTTTGATTGATGATGTTACCGGTATCTTATCTATGCATGCAATTTTTATGCGATTCTCTTTGGCGACTCAGCGAAAAAATGATAATCTACCTCTTTTCCTCTTTGTTCCATGTTGATTTTGCAAATGTTTAACACCAATATGGTGATAGTATCTGCATCTGATCGACACACATGAAGTGTTGACATATTTCTAAGTCACATTTGTTTCCATCAAAATTATCTAAAACCGTCTATTGCAAATCGCACGGCATCAATCACATTGAAGGCTTTGGAGTAGCAAATTTTTACCCATTAATTTATGACATTTTATCAAATGTGATTGTGTGGTCGCATTTAAATATTGAATTTCGGTTTGTTGGTTTATGAAATGGATTAAGTCACGTCAAGTTAGTATAATACAACGCCAAAACAAAGTATGTAATAAATGTGCAGTTTGAGTGTCTGAGGTTACCGACTCAAAAGTGACGACGATATGACCTTTAAATCGATTGAATAATGAGCTCAGACCGAACGAGAAAAAAAAAGAATTGTCGACTGATCTTTGCGCGCGGCCACCGATCACCGACAACGATTGCATTAAAACAGATGTTTTAAACAATTTAAACACGCATATAAATCAAATCAACGCAAATAAAAATATGATTTCCAAAAAAAAAAAAGACTGGTGGCAACTTTTGTGGTAAACCATTGCACACGTTTGGCGGTTGTGATTTCGGATCGCATCGTCACTAGTCTTATGAAACATATATCAATATGTGTCGGATTTATTATAGCTAAATAGATACACGGCCTAGCAATCCGTCACTCTCATTAATCAATTATGGTATCGCGTGCGAGCCCTCATGCTTGAATGCTCAAAAATAATGATATCCACGTATAGAGAGTGATATTTTTTTTCATTTGACGAATCTGCTTTTGCTATTTTCATCTCTATTTTATGAGCCAACAAATTTTAGTTAATTCAGGCAATGAAATCAAAATGAAACGCATTAATATTTATACACAAAATCTATTCAATCCAATTAAAATGACCTTCAAATTGGAAAATTGTAACAATTTTTACATAATCATCATACGCCAATCATATTATTGGATTGATAGCGATTGTAATTTATATCGCTTAATGTGTTCCATTTCGGTTTCTGTGTTCAATGAGATGGCTAAAAAAATGTACAAGGAAACCGATAAGTAGACAAAGGAATATCAGCAACGTGGTTTAGTTCAAAAGTCAAACATTTAACATTACAATTTTTACTCGCATTTTACATACATTTTCTAAACATTTCCATAGCATTTCTAGTGCAAATACTATAGTGGCCTTGCAATTGACATGGAAACCTATTTGGAAGAAGAGAAGAAAGAAAACTAACAACAAATGCCCATTTATTGCAATAGAAAACGGTTTGCAAAATAACGGTCGCTGAAAATATTCGTTTTTTTTTTTATGTTTACTAAATCAAATGCGACATGAATCACTCACGTAATTTGCATGTCATTTGTATTGAACTTGATTGTTCAATTCGTGGGATGTCAAGCATTTAATTTATGTCGTGATAAAATGTTTTAAATTGGGTAGCGCATATCATAAATACAACTGATAATTCGATGCAAATTTTAAACGAATTTTAAATGTCAAAAACAGTTGTTATCGCATTAGTGTGATAATTTAGTTCCAAACGCCGGCGAATTAGTAAGCTGAAATAAACCACATTTAAATAGGAAAAATATCAACGTTAGATAAGTTTTCAAAATCATCTAGCACAAAATAGCTCCATGCATAAATTCATAAAATGCAAATTAATGTTTGCTTATGGATCACAACCACGTTTGGTTTAGACTACTGGCGCTTTCGTAAAAAAAAACAAACAAATTTATAACACCCAGTAAGCGCATTTTGCTAATTAATTTCTCAAACCCATTGGTGCTAATAGAGTCATTTTATACGCGTTGCATCAAATGTTGATGATGATTAAATACAAAATATTCAACACTTTATATGCCGTAAACGAGATAATTGAAATGCCCCATGATATAATTATGATCATTGTTATTTGCTACATACTATTTATTCAATTTCCATCTATACATAATTTTATTTTAATGGTTTCGTTGAAGTACACCCATTATATTTCGGTAAGTTTTTTTTATTCTGGGAGCTATATTCACACTACACAATGCCAAGCCTATTGTTCCGGCAGCTATTTTTTACCTTTTTTCATGGAGCTGAAAATTAATTAAACTCGTGAAAAAATGAACCAGTAATTCGCCAGCACCAAAATATGTGCTTAATCTGTTGAGACGTTAATGTTGTGTTAACATTTTTATGCGTTTCTTAAATAAATGGTGCAACGTAAAATGCATTGACTTTTCGATAATTTTAATTGAAATGATTGATGTGATCAGGTCAGAGCGAGATCGCCAGATGTAAAAAAAATATTCCAAGTGGATTGACCTGAAAATTTATTGAAATAAAAATCGTATTGAACCAGTTACATGTGATTATATCATCTCCTGATGATTGACTGAATGATTATTGCATGCTTTTATTCAACGGAGTTTCATTTTTATCGTTGTTTCACATGCCGTTCAATTGTATGTGTCATTTAGTCCGGTTTTTGGCTAGTTTTTTTTTATTTTTCAATGTGTACGCACAATTTGTGTCGGTCTATCTTTTCACTTTTTGAAAGCTACAAAGAAATATTTTTTCAACAAACAAAAATGGTTTTCTTTTTTTTTACTTGTTCCACTGACCTTGCGCTACAACCGTCTGATCAACTTTTCTTCGGAATTTAAACAAAATATGAAAGAAAGAGACGCAACAAGCGACACTAAAGATACAGTTAGGTTTTTTATTTCATTTCTTCAAAAGAGATTTGTTAGTGTGACAAATGGCCGGAGCAAGTCAGCAAGTGGTCGTTGAATTATTTTTAACGAATTCCACGAGAAAAAAAAACTTAGTATATTTATTACCAGCTGCTTGAAATCGAAAGGAATTCTTATTCGCTTCTTTGGTTCTCGAATTTATTCGCGAAATTGAATGAATGAAGTGTCTATTTCGCCCGAAAGTAATTTTGTTTAATTTTGCACGGTTTGGATGCCGTGGGAATCTGTTAATCGAATCAAATATTTGAAACATACATAAATCATTGAAAAAAAAAACACACACAAAAAAGCCAATGCTCATGTTGTCGGATTGCATACAATTTCGTTAAACAAATTTTATTAATTTATGCAATCGATCAATGTACATTGATCATATTGATTATCAACATAATTCGTGGAAACATGCTCACATGATTATTCCGTTCGAGTGCTTAGTTCAAGTGTATTTTGAGCATCATCATGAATATACGTACACACCGCGCATGAAACAAACATTGCCGAAGTTATTGAACCATTGTGTGTCGATTTCTTTATTGTATTTGACTATGCCAAAATAATGCTATGGGTTAAGCAGGTCTTGAAAAAAAAAATTACTTCAAGAATCTTTAGATATAGAAAAAATAAATTGCACTGAGTTAAATTCCATGAACTTATGTAATTATATGACCGTTACTTCGTTTAGGCATTTGATTGAAGCGATTAGAAGCACTTTTTGTGTGCTGATGAATTGCTTTTATGCTAAATCACATATCATATGTTTTAATGCTCTGCGGTGATGACTTATACGCAATTTATACACTTTTAGACAGACAGCTTTAATATATTCATGTCAAATTAAAAACCACTTTAAAAACACTCCTCGAATACAAACAAAAATCGACAAGATTTGCAGTAACTTTATCTATTTTGTTACAGAGTGCATCTGTACATGTTTCGGTTTATTTTTGGTAACGATCCATTGTGAATAAATATGAACATTTCAGGCGAATCGATGTCAAAATTGAAAGACATTTAACCAAAATCCAATTACAACACACGGATGTCCCAAAAACACCGTACTAATGCTAATCGTAGCCTACAGAACCGTGCATTAATTTCCTACTTCAAAAAGGTTATCGAATTTAAAATATGATCTTAAAGCCTTATTACCGAAACGACGAAGTTATTTTTGATTTGCCAATTCGCATAAGAACTTCCTAATTAGTTTATAGCCAACCGGCTGTGATTTCACGAAGTCTTGCAAATATAACATTTAACCAATGTTCTCTATAATTTGAACACCAATTTCAAATCAAATTTAAACGTAGCAACCAAATGGAAATAACAAACTAATTAAATCGTAATAATGTATAAAGTCAAATCTATATCATTGGGCATGAATGAAACGGACACAGCCGAAACTAAATCGCATGAGTTTTAAAAATTAATTGTACCTATTGAGGAAAACCACCAAGATTTTTGGCACAAACAAACCATGCCATTGTCGATCATTAGTTGGCTTTTCAATTGTTAGTGACTCTAAAAGAGCAACAAAAAAAAATTGGTTACATTGAATGATTTCGTTGACGTGTGCGATACCATTGTAATCTTGAACTTAATCCGTTGACATAGGATTTAACGAACTTTGATGCTGACCTGGATGTAATGCGATTAGAAGGCAGTGCGTCTATTCAATATCAATCTTATGTGAGCATGAAACAAAAATTTCAATTTGCACAGCATGCGTTACTACGACGAAATTCAAACACGGAATTCCAGTTAAAAAAAAATGTTCCATCAAACAGGAGACTCATACGAGTAGTATTATTTTACCATTCTTTTTTTTCATACATAAAAAAATGACGCGTGAATAAAAAGAGTATTTCATGGTCATATCACTTTATATATATGATTTAATATTCAATCTGTCTTTTTGACATCTTATCGCATGTGCGTTTCTTCAATGAAACGGCGAGTCGTGAGATTGAACACCAAAAAAAATCGATGGATTTAAGCAACAATGTGTCTGCGCACACCTTTACATATATGCTTCATTCCAAGTGGTAATTCTAAAGAACACTTACAAAATGAAAACGCAAGACAAAATCGCTTAATTCATCGCAAAATCGAAAAGACTTTTGAAAATGATCGGCCAGTTGCTCAATGCATGAAAAACCGTGTATTACATAATCGATCAATCGAACTCAAAGAAATAGTAACGTATATTTGTGCTCTTTTGAAGACGTGTTTGCATTTGATTTGATAATGCTATAAGAAACAAACAAAAAAAAATATCTATTCAGAATGAAAAAAAAAAATGCACAACTAGTTTGATCGACAACTGTGCGATTACTTAATTTATTATTATTTCTTTAATAACTTTATCGACATTATATCTTCTGCAGAGTTTGGCAAAAATTTACCGCAAAAATCCAACAAAGTCTACCTAAGTAACGGCGATGCAATTAAAGTCCCACATTTTGTCCCTATATCACTCTATCTATCGATTGATTGTAATCGTGAGGTAGTAAATTATGAACATAAGATTTTTTTATTCGTTTTCCACTTGATTTTCATGAAGCAAACAAAGAAAATTTTGTTTTAAACTATCCGAGGACTCTGTACGTGTGATGTGATTTTTTTTTTCTTTTCTCAAGCCAATGAGATTTATGGGCACCTCGAGTAATTTTTAAATTAAGATAAGTGCAACAAAAAAGACACCGCACAATTTTGATAAATGATTAATTGTTTTAATGCTCTAAGCAGCATCAGTATTCGCGATACCTTGCATGATTGCCAGCCATAACCAAAGTTCACAGAGTTCAATAACTAGCCAAAATAAATCAATTGAAATGTGAATGAATGTAGCAACACTGGATAGTTCAAAATAACACGCTGCAGTGAGACGCAATGAATGATACTTCTTTTCGATTTTGGTGTATGATTAGTAAAGAGTCCGAGAGATCTGTTGAAATACAAACAATAACAAGCATTTATCAAATAAATAAGCCATTTAAGTATGACAATGTATGCGAATATGCCGAAGATTATCTCGTGAAAGAGCAGCCGCAATGGAACGACACGCATTTCGATAATGTTGAGTGTGTCTTGGTTCAATAGCTGAATGAACGACCGAGCACGACCAAGCGTGTATGATTGAGCGAACAGTTCGTTGGTAGGGAGATACGGAGGCAAAGTGAAGAGAAAGAGCACGATACGTGATATGTGTGTTTCATGCTTGAAGGTGAAGCGCACAAATATTATGGATAATTTGGCAAACGATTATAACCGTTTGTGTGATTGTTGTTGTTGTTATTATTACGACAGACTCTCTGAATGTAAACATAATCAAGCACAAGTTACTTGAGCCCTACCAACAACATATGGACAAAATAATCTTTTCTCATGACCAAGTGACTGCTGCAATCAGCTATATTGTTTTTTCTAGTTGGTAGGATATTTTGGCGATTGTGTTATGTACCATTGCATACATTCGTAATATTTTTTAGCTTCCTCCATCCACCGTCCATCGACGATATGATCATTGGCGGTGGTAAGAAATATTTTTATATAAATTCGGCGATCGACGAGCAACAATCAACAATCAATTCGGTACAGTTCACTCTACTTGATCAATAAGCTCAGCTGCTTCGCTTTAAAACAGTTAAACACTTAAATAATTTCAAAAAATGGCATTCAAGGTGCGTGTTCATTATAAGATATTGAATTCAACAAAGTGCTTTTTTATTCAAACATAGATCGGTGATATTTTGATCGAATCTTTTTTTGTGTGAATTTTATATAGTGATTGAAATTTACTTGAATCAAACTTCTCTTAAACAAATAAATCTAAGCACACATTCATAGTGACGATATTAAAATAAGTTGGAGTTTTTTTTATTTCAATTAACGAGATGGATATTTTTTGAAATTGGAAGAATGTGTTGCTACAAAAAGCATTCAACTCTTTTTATTGAGTATTTTTTATATTCATTGCTTCATTGAAATCAACATAAAGTAAAGAAATGACATCGAATAGAATATTAATTCGATAAAAAGTGAAACACATTTCTTTGAAAGTGTCATCGAATTTCAAGTATAACCAATCGATTTATGAATCGAACTGAATTCCAGCGATATAGTTTAGCATTTAAATATAACAACAACAAAACGAGTTCAAAGTGTTCAATTCAAACATTTGATTCGAATTTCCTTTCTTATAGTTCTTGGCATTCTGCGCTCTCGTCGCCGTCGCTCGTGCTGGAGTTATCAGTCATGCACCTGCTTATGCAGCAGCCCCTGCCTATCATGCTGCCCAAGCTTACCATGCAGCCCCTGTTGCATATGCTCCAGGTATCTTTAATGTTTCACAAACCGAAATACAATGCCTATATAATCGCAAATGATTTAATATGCATTTGTCTCTTTAATAGTTGCTCACGCAGCTCCAGTATACGCAAAAGCCATCCACCACGACGATGAATACGACCCAAACCCACAATACAGCTTTGCTTATGATGTCCAAGACGGTTTAACTGGTGACTCAAAAAGCCAACACGAAACTCGCTCAGGAGATGTTGTGCAAGGATCATACTCCCTCATTGACGCTGATGGCCATAAACGTACCGTTGACTACACCGCAGACCCACACAATGGTATGTACTTAATAGATTTTTCATTAAGCTGAAGAACTAACATCCATCTCATGTACATTAACTGTAATTGTGCTTAATTCATGTTTAGGTTTCAACGCTGTTGTCCACCGTGAACCACTTGTGCACAAAGTTGCTGCCGTCGCAACTCCAGTTGTTACCAAAGTAGCTGCACCAGTCGCCTATGCTGCCGCCCCACACTATGCCCATGCACCACACTACGCTCACTCACCAGTTTACCACTAAATCCACTTCCTCAATTTACATCTTAAGAGCCACCAGAAATTCACCATAGACAGCAGATGAAATGAAAGGCAAAACGACAATCGGGCTCGATCTCGTTTGAGGCATAAAATTACGAAACTAAACTGTAAATAATCTCACATTCAATATCGCATTGCTTCAACTATTTGTTGTTACTTCATGGTATCTTCCCTCTTTTGTATTTCCTTGTGCGCTGTTGTTCTTATGTTTGATTTTCAAGAGATTCTACATACCGCTAAATTGATTACCTTATTTATATTTTTTTATTGAAGTCAAAAAAACACATGGAAAATTAGTGAAAAAAAGTAAAGAATAAAATATATTTTTTTACAAAAAAAAAAACAAACGGCTTGTTTTTCAAAAGTAAATTGTAATTGAACAAAAATCTAATTTAATTTGTCTATCCAAAATGTGATCACAACTTTGAAATTGCATTGAACTTGCGAAAATGACAAGGCATCAGAACAAATCGATGTATTCGTCAGCAAGTACAATGACAATAATTTCTACTTCCGTTTTGACGTTTTATTTTTTACGATATGATAGCGATCAGTTGTTATTACTATAAAACTGATCATTCATTACACTGAATGTCGGTCGAGAATGAGTTAAATTTAGATGATTACGGTACAATGTTCAAATCTTTAACTGGATGCACTTTAAAATGAATTTATTACAATGCTATATATGTCATCCATAATTAAGAACTTCCTTGTATAAAACGAAGGGGTCAAAAATGGCATTTAAAGCGAAACAGAGAAGTCAAATAGCAAATATGCCAGGTCATTGATAGGCGATGCAATTGATTTACAATGTTAAAAATTTCCACTGCAAAAAGAAAGTCGAATCGATGAATTACACAACAAAGCCCACCAAATGCAACATCAGCAAACGACTATACAGACTATACGGTTGTTGACGATTTTATTAATAAACGAGAAAAATATGTAATGAGTTGTTGAGCTGTAATAACATGTGAATCTCATCATATAATGGCAAATTCACTGTAATAAACATTTTCCGATGCAAGTTAAAATGTTTGCAAATGGACTGTTGATAATTAGAACTACGATCGATCACTAGTTGCTCTACACATTACTGTGCATTTTCTCCAACTATTCGTCAAATGTTCTGTCTTCATTTTGGCTATTAACATGTCACCGAATTTCGGATAATTTAGGAGAAAAAGGACAAAATTTAATTAAATTGAAATTGTTCAATGTTTCCGAGTGAAAAAAAAGGTATTTGGACGCTGACGCCAGATATTTAATTTAATTTTTGTGACATTCCAAAGACCAGTCTACTATAAATGTCTTGTTTGGGTGATGTTCAAAACATTAAATTCAAAGGAATGCTGTGAAAGTTATTTTTTTATGTGAATCGATGTTAATTACAATTCAATTATAAATGAAGTTCCTTTCATTCCATATTGTGCCAGTTATTTGCTGCTTTTTTATCTTTCGCTGTGGCTCAAAACTGTCAGTAAAAATTTCATCGTAAATGATGATTATCTTCGTTTTGAGATTAGATGCTTATTAAATCTAGTGGAAAAAAAATCAGTATTTGCTTGTAAAAGAGAAGATAAAAAAATCTCGTATAAGCGGCGATTTAAGTTACAATGAACCTCAGAGAGGACTTCTCTCGTTCCTAGTACTAGTACTGATGATAGATAAAACGATTTTATTAACTTCGTAGTTCAGCCAACTAAACCATTTCAATGTTTTGAATCAAGTTGAATGAAAGTGAGCATGCTCTGCAGTTTCATATCATATGATAAACACATGTTAATTTACTGGCCTGTCACAAAAGTTCAAAACATTACCATACACAAGCAATCGCAAAGTATTCTGATTTTATATTATTGTCTCTTCAGTTAGACAAAAACAAAGCGAAGCATTGAATTCATTCTGTTAAATATCCAAGTTGCACATCTATTTTGTACAAAATAATCGAATCGAAAAAAGAGAAGAAAATATTCCATCAAAAGCTGACAAACGTTAAGTGAAAATGGAATGTGTTTGAGTGAATAAAATGTACTTTAATTTGTTCTAAATAACGAAAATCAATTTTCGAAGTGAAATTATATGAAAGAAAAATTCGATTTAAAAATTACACTATAGAAAATGGATATTGACCAAATACTAGAGAAATGTGGAGATTTTGGTAAATTTCAGTTGATGATGTTGACTTTGTTTGGTGTTATTAACATACTGGCCTCGATACATTACTATTCGCAAACTATCATCAGCTTTATTCTAAATCATTGGAATTAGTATCATATTGTTTAAAATGTGCGTTCTTTATTCGGATTTTCTATGTGGCATAGTTTCTTCTGAATAAATATTTCTTGAGCATTTTCTAATACAATAGCTAAAGAGTTTTAGGGAAATGATTAAGATAACAGTGACAAGTAATATAATAAACGCAATGATATCGTATGAATTTCCGACGATTAAACCGAGTCGAAAAACAGGTGATTTCAAATGATCGCAATCTGGATTTCGTAAGAGCCACTCAATCCACCAAATGGCTCTATCCAGCGGCTTTTCTTTCTGATCTTTGAATCTTGCTGATACTTTTTGCATATTCATTGCATATGATGGCTCCTTAAGCACTTTCAAAATTGTAGTTTTTAAATCATCGTAATTCAACGAGTGATATTCTATTCCTTCCGAAATTCCAAATCGCTTTGTTTTTATCAAATTCTGTAAGAGATTCAGAGAGATAAAGATGGATTTAAATAGTCAATTATAAAAATTTACTTTTCGCTGATCAAGTCCAAATGGCATTATTATCATGGGCACAGATCTCCAGATCGCTTCGTGAGTAGTTAAAAGGCCTCCATGAAAGAAAATCGCCTTGACTTTTGGATGAGCCAAAACGTCTGACACAGGAATCCAAGAACGAATCATAACATTTTTTGGTAAATCGGATTCGGATATATTACTCTCGAATTTCCAGAGAAAGTTGTAATCCGGAAGATCACTTAAAACTTTTAAAATGAGATTTTTCTTCATTTGCGGTATACAATCACTTCGAATGTTTGATCCCAAAGCAAAAATGACCGTTCCTTTTTTTGATGAATCGATGAACGATTTCAACTCCTGTAAAGAAAAATGTTTTCTTAAAAACCGTCATAGAAATCTATTTCATTCGATAAAAAATTCAAATTACCTGTGGGAATGGTTTGGGATCTTTTATTTGCAGTCCACCAACCGGGATGACATTTTCCGGATGCGATACATGATAATCTATGGCCGAGTTGGTATTTACGAAAGCCAACGACGTTCTTTTTTCCAATTCACTGACGGACGGAAAATCCGGACCAAAGTATTCGGTTGCAATTTCATCCAATCGCGGATTTAAAAAGTACTTGAAAATACTAGTGGAATGAAAGTCAATATACAATATAATTTCGAAATGATGTAACAGTGTTTGAGTCGTAGTTACATAAATTCCTGCATGTAGATAAGAAAATTTAGGAGTCGTTGTGAAAATGTCATTTCATCGTTGAATGGTAGTAAATTGTGTGGCACATAAGAATAGTGATGATGATCTGCAATAAATTGGTTCAAATATGACGGATGTCCGTAAGCAGTGACCGCAATCATTGGTGGATAGTTGAATTTATGTATAAAAGGTAGAAAGCATGAGCCAACTGAAAAATCATGTAAAATCAAGTCGAATTTGAAGTCATCTGGATAGTTAAGCAAGGTTTGAAAACCCATTGTTCTAACAGCAGCTGTAAACATTAAATACTTTAAAAGTGTGAAATATATGTGGATTTTTACTTATATTTACCGGAACACATAACCTCGCAACACTCTACAATAGCAAGTGCCTCGCGAAATGGATTCATACTTTCTGTTGTATTTAATAGGCCTTTATAAAATGTTTTATACTCTGTATCATACATATTTTCAAGAAGAATGTAATGCACACCCTTTGGTGGTTTTGCTTCGGAGTCGGGTGAAAGTATTGTAATGTTGTGTCCACGTTTCGCAAGTTCGTCACTTATCGCACTGTTCCTGGAGTATTTAAATAAAATCGTTTCAAAAATGCAAACAAAATTCGTGAAAATGTCGGTAACTACTTACCAAAAATGATGACTATGTGATTCCAAAAGTTGCAAATATAAAATATTCGAAGTGAGGCATATTGGAACACTGATCAAAACAAGCATAAATATTAAAATACACTTCATTTTGAACGATTCAGATTGACACGTATTTATTCTGATGAATATTAATTATATTATATCGAATTTAAAATCCAAATAACGCATATTGAGCGTAAATAATTCATTTATTTTGCAAAATTCGTTTACCAGCAAATGCATTATCTTATCAAGCTGTTATCAAAAGTGATAAGAAAATTGCACATGAACATTAATAACTCAAATGCACTTAAAATGTACTACTTGGACTATATTATTCACCACTTCGTTCATACATTTATTAAAATTCAAAGTTTTTTTTTTATTTATTTTTTCTAACGACATTTATTGTGAGAATGAGGTTTTATCATGACTTTGCTTGCACAAATGCATAATGAAATAGTGACTCTATAGAAATCATTAACATGAAAGCGATAACATCGTATAAATTTCCGATGATAAATCCAAGTTGAAGAGCACTTGATTTCAAATGATCGTAATCTGGTTTATTATTATTTATTACTTTTCGAGTCTATTTTGGTGAGCTGATTTCAGAGTTTACAATGTTTGTTACAGTTTCCTCTTAAGTGTATTGAGTACATAGTTAAATAATTTGATTTTAAATCTATTACAAAGTAACAGCATATTAGATAAATGTTTTGAATTTAATACAAAAGATAGATGTAATCCAATAATTGCAATTGCTTAGATAATTGAAGTCAAACATGACAAACATTAGATTAACATTTATTCAGTTATACAATTTGGCTAATATATTGTATATAATTAAAATTTATTTATTGGCACAATGAACCAAGAACTGCATCCGGCAGTCTTGTTACTGGATTCCGAAGTAACCAGTTGATCCACTATAGACAGCTCACATGATAAATAGAGTAAACTACATTCATACGCGAGAGAGATGAAATGAGCTTAAGTGGAAGCTTGTGGAGTAGGTAGATGCGACATGGTTCAAAATCTTCTGGGCGAATAACCACGATGTTACATTCTCTATGGGGATGAATAATTTTGTTATTTGTGCGAGTTTTCCATCGGAAAAGCGAGAAAAATCGATCGAAAACGTTTTTTTCGTTTTTGACTATCTTGCTGCTATATGGCACGATATGATAAAAAGGGCGTTCTTTATTCGAATTTTTTATGTGGCATAGTTTCTTTTGAATAAATGTTTCTTGAGCATTTTCTAATACAATGACCAAAGATTTTTAGGGAAATGATTAAGATAACAGTGACAAGTAATATAATAAACGCAATGATATCGTATGAATTTCCGACGATAAATCCAAGTTGAAGAACAGGCGATTTCAAGTGATCGCAATCTGGATTCCGAAGTAACCATTCGATCCACCAGACAGCTCGATCTAACGGTTTCTCTTTTTGATCTCTGAATTTGGCCGACCATTTCAAAGCATTTATCGAATATAATGGATCTTCAAGTACTTTATGAAGAGTCTTTTTTAATTCAGCTTTTGATAGTGAAAAATAATCAACACCTTCAGATATCCCCAGTCGTTTTGTTTTCATCAAATTCTAAAATAGTGTTGTGATTAGAATTGTGTATACAATGTAAAAATCAATAAAAACATACCTGCTTCTGATCGAATCCCAGTGGCATTATAATCATTGGAACGCCTCGCCAAATGGCTTCTTGGGTTGTTAACAAACCGCCGTGAAAGAAAATCGCTTTTGTTTTAGAATCAGCCAAAATGTTTGAGATGGGCAACCACGGCCGAATTAAAACATTTTTCGGTAAATTTGATGCAGGAAGATTGCTCTCAAATTTCCACAGAAAATGATAATCCGGAAATTGTCGAAAAACTTCCAAGAAAAGTTTTTGTTTCGCTTCCGGCAGAAAATCACTTCGGAAGTTAGTTCCGAGTGAGAATATAACTATCCCTTTATTTGACGAATCAACGAATGCCTTCAAATCCTAAAACAGACAAACATTTAATTTATCAGCAATTGTTAACTGTTTCGTTATCACAAACGCGTTGAGAGTTTATAAAGACATAAAAATTACACTTGGTATCGGTTTTGGATCTTTGATATGTAGGCCAGCGACTGCAAAATAACTATAAAGTCCTCAAACATCATCACAAAATAAAATATAATTCATTTTATGGCAAATTACCTGGAATTATATTTTCTGAAAGTGGTGCCGGATAATCCATGGCCGGATTTGTATTAACAAATGCAAGTGCCGTTCTTTTCTCCAATTCACTGACTGATGGAATATTCGTGCCAAAACTTTTTTGGACTATAGTGTCAATAGCCGGAATAAAAAATTGCTGTCGATATCTGTGGAGAATGGAAGATTCAAGATTTAAAATTATCTTCATTTTGAAGCTGATGTAGTTTTCAAGATTTAAAACAGTTATTTACACATTTTCCAGGCCATAAATTGGAAAATTCGTGAGTCTTTCCAAAAAGTTCATATTTTTATCCGACAAAAGTGCATTGTGTGGAATATATGCAGTATATTGGTGTCCCCCCATCATCAAAGGCATAAAGGATGGATTGCTGTATCCGGTGACACCCAATAGTGGTGGATTTTTGAATTTATGGGCAAATGGTAAATGACATGGACCGCAGGTGTAATCATGAATAATTAGGTCGAATTTGAAATTGTCCGGATAGTTGAGCAATGTTTTAAAACCATTTGTTTGGACTTGTGCTATATAAAAAAATGTGCTATATACATTTTATGTAAACTGATTGATGTAATACCTTCACAAATATCGGTGCGAACTTTAAACATAGCCAAAGCATCCTGGATTAAACTAGTTGCGCCTGGCGCCGAAAGCATTTCTTTTAAAAATTGCCTGTTAACATCGGTATACTGATTTTCGATTAAAATGTAGTGTATTCCAGGCGGTGGATTTTTATCAATATCTGGTGAAATCACAGTAATATTATGTCCATGTCCGGCCAATTCACTGGTTACTGCTCCAATCCTGTGGTATCAAAATCAAAAATCAATACCCATTTTGCACACAAAAGAGCTCAAATGAACATACCAAATATGATGACTTGGTGAAGGTAATGTGGCCAGAATCAGTATGTTTGATCCATTCACAAATAAAATATTGCAAACAATGAAAAAAACAAGTCGAATCGACATTTTAACGAGATAAAAGCCCCTGTTCAAATGATTTCCTCCTCAAACCTCCAACAATCGGTTATGAAGTGAAAGAAACTTTTCAAACATACAGAATCACAACTGATTGAACATTGAAAACTGTAAATCGTTCTTGATTAGAATAAATGACATTGATTTCAATTAGCGGACAATAACTTATCAGTATACATGCAAAATTATTTGAGTCACAGTGACAAACATGTTTTAGCTGTTATCGGACACCAATGAAATGAACAAGCAGTTCATCATTATACTTAGTTTCAGTGGGCACAAGCTTATAACATTCTATGTCAGAACTATTTGTTTACCCATTTCGTATCAAAATGTATTACATAACCGAATGATGACATAATGATCACATTTTTGTAACGAATTTGATTTTCTTGGATTATCAACAAGGTTCATATGTGTATGGAGATTCGCCTAGGGGAAAATATCGAATAAAATAAGTAACGAATATGCTGCGTATAAGAATATAAACCGTATATACCGAAGAATATTTGCAAATAACTCCGCATATATATGGTTTATACGCATATATGCAGCGTATATGCGGCATACTTGCGATGTCTTCATCTATTTATAGTATATTCGGTAAAAAATACTTGAGTATAAACCGTATAAACGTATAGATAATTCCCCCTAGAGATTCGCACTTCACGGTATTTTGCGACACCAGATTAAATAAACAATTTATTGTCGTCAAAAAATTGAAATGTACAAAATATTGTATGTTTTGATGCAAACAATGAATTTCATTTTTATCAAACATATTGTGAATAGCCGGGGTTAGGTTTTTTGCATTTTTTTTCGAACGACGATTTTTTCGAGATAATAATTATTTTTTAAAGGTCTCATAACAAAATAGACTAGAATAAAAATTCCCAGCTCCGGAAAAAAATGCATTAGAGGGTTAACAAAATGTGTAAACACAATAAAAAAATAATCACTTATAATGACCCAATTTATACTGAAATTATAAGGAAGTGTTATTAATTCAGTGTGTCCAAAACATATAGAAATAGCACTAAATAGTGTCGATATCTATACTATATCGGGGCACTATCGGGTAGGAATATCAAAAGCAAGCACTCAAAAAACTTACTCCTAGCGCCACCAACCTATAAGTTGTGTATTGTGAGAGCCAACTTCAGACAGATTGTATATATGTGACAACTATTTTTTGACATTTGTAAAACCGGCAATTAGGTGTTTGTGTTTCAACTATAAAC